GAGGAGAGGAGAGGAGAGGAGAGGAGAGGAGAGGAGAGGAGAGGACTATTGTTTTTAAGGTAGTTTGTCTTCGTATCTCTAAAGCCACATACTGTTCTGAAGCAATAATTTAAAGATGTGACAAAAAATTCTCCAATAAATTGGTAATAATTTGGTGCTGTTGCCTGTATTTTCAGTTCCAAGCATATACAATTGTTTCTTGAGTACAGAAAGTTTATGTGTTAACAGTCATTGCAAATGAACAGGTAATCAGCTATAAAGTATCTGCATGCGAATTACTATTCTGTAATTAGAGCTTTAAATTTGATATCCAAGGACTAAATAATACATCAAGTGCTGATGAAAAAGACTAGAATCCTCATAGAAATTTCAGATATTCATGATATATTAGCAACTACAAGACAGATTGTATGACTGAATGGTTCTAGAAAAAGAAAGATCAAGAAATAAGAACCAACTAAAGACATACAAAATGTAAGGTAAAAAGAGTAGACCAATATTATGCAAACATAGTATTAAGAAAGTCTCTAATATTCTCTAATAATATTTTTATTATTAAAATAGCTACTCTTATGTCCAAAAGACCTTGTTCAGAAATAAGGAAAGCATTCTATGATTCAGCTTTTTACCTTTTAAAAATTTTCTTCATTATTTGTTACAAGGGCCTTTTTGTGGGCATAATCCTGACCTTTTGTAGCCTTTCTCTGAATCTCTTCTCTTCCACATACAGCCAGAACTCAGGCTGGTGTGGCTGCAAACTGAATTGTGCCTTCACAGCTCTGCATCTCATCAGTATTTCAGGCTGTGCTACATCATTTAGCTGCTAAGGATGTGTGCCACTGCAAAATGTACAGCGTATCTTGAGGTCTATTCATTAGAGGGCAGATTAGCAAATACATTATAGAGACAGTTATTGTAGCTTGGCAGTCTGATAGTGAAGAAGTACAGGAAGTATCAAGAAAATGAATGGCTATCATGAATATTATATAGGCCCTTGTGAAGCCACTATTAAACTGTGGGTAAATTCAGGACATTTATTGCATAGTTGTGTAGTCCTTTTTTTATTTTTTTTTTGACAAGCAAGTTTTAAATCTCCTAAAGTCCATGCAAGTACTGTACAAGCAATAATAACTCCAGGAGTGATTTAACAGACCTTTCCAAAGGATGCTCACCTCTTTTATTTATCGAAGAGTTTTGATGCTGAACTTGAAAAAGGAGACTTCCTAAATCACTGAGCCATTTCTTTGTCACATAATCCCAATGTAAAGTAAGCGAACAAAAGATTTGTTACAAAAAGCTTTTTGCTATTTTCTCAGTTATGAAATGAGAATTTTAGTTTAAATTAAAGAAGGAGGGAACAATGGGAGATTTTGGAAATATCTATTAATATGCTGAATATACTCAAATGTAGTCAACTAGAGGAAAAACAACACAAAAATTAAGACTTTAATAACTAAAAAATTAAATGGAGAAAAAAGAAGTGAATAAATAAATGCAAGACAGAGAAAGGAATGACCTCAGGATGGTCTTACTTTATGTATTAAATCAGGAAGACAATTTCCTGAGAACTTCCACCAAGAAGTTAATAATTCTGAAAAAATAGAAGAAGTTTATCTGCAAATTATTCAGTGTTAATCAAAATCAAATCTACTGACTTCCCATTGAAATTCACTTTTACTTATGTAAACAATATAAAAAAGTAATGCAATATGGTTGACTACTTTGAAAAAAAAAAAATTCCAATTTATTCTTGCAATTGGCTTAAATCAGAAGTTGCATGTGCAACTTTTTTTCTTCAAATGAAAGTACAGTAAGACTTGCAAGGGAAACTCTGAAATTCATCCACTAGTCTCAAATTAATTGAAGGGTAAAAGCAAATTAGTTTGAAAAATACTGTGTTTGCAGGCTATTTTGGAACTGGAAGCCCTGAGGTGTCACTGAGAGAAACATATATGTGTTTCATTTGGATGATGTGGAGAAATTAGCAATACGTTGAAATTTAGGTGTTTACATCAAATTAATGCGTCCTGAACTCTTTTTCTTCACATTTCAGAAGAATTGTTGAACAGCTTTAAAGAAATGTGGGTGGGTTTTGTGGCAACTACAATTTGAGGTAGAGGCAAATTCTACAGCACATCGAATCCATAAAAATTTCAGAAGTGTTTGCATTTTTCCCTGTAAAATTTTCACAATTCATATTCTGTATGCATATATATATATAAAATTGGAATATATTTTATTTGTATTTAATAATATATATTTCTATTTATCCCTGATGTTATTCACATTTTTTCCTGTGAAAAAACCAAATACTACATATTGACCTATATGTGGCTGATAATTAACCATTTTTTCACAGATTAGGATTTGTTATTGATTATGCAATTTTATGATGAAAGTTGCCACAATAAATGTTTTAGCTATCTAGATGTCCTTACATAAATAAATATGTAAGTAGTTTGACTATTAACAGCATACCTTTTTATTTTATTTGGTATTATCAATTAACAAATCTTGATCTCATACTATCTTAATTCAGTTTAAAATTTACATAATTTTAAATCTTCATCAATGAAGTTAAACATATTTTTGCAATGTCACCATATTTTATGATTTAAAACACACCACACCTGTCAAGACTCCTACATTAAACAGGGATAGAATTCTTCTTTTTTAATTGTTATGCTGTAACTGTTCTTTGTGTGTAGAGTTGCCAGTCTACATTCCACCACCCCCACAATATAATTGTCATTTAACTGTTTGTCTCTTTACTATTTCTTCCAATTTTATGTAATAGGAACAGCAGGGGGCATTCAGAGCTTTATATGCTGGATATGGTTGGATATGATGCTATGGTGCTACTTTACTGCATTTTGAAAGTGTAGAATGCAGTTTGATCAATTTAAAATATACCACATAAAATCCATTATTTCATGTAATATACATTTATGCATCATGAACCTGTCGTTTATTTCTTTGTTCGGTTGTTCATTTTTTTCACGTAAGTATTTAGAAGCATTACTTTCACATAGGATTTCCATCAGATAGATGAAAACAAAAAACTGTTACAAATTAGTTGCAATAATTTTAAAATCATGAAGAAAATTATTTTCTTAAAATGCAAACAATTACATCTTAATGTGATCTCTACAAAAAACCCAACAAACAAACAGAAAAACCACAACAAAATCAGAGGAAAAACATCTGACTTGAGTGCACTGTTTGCCGTGGTGAAAAAGTGTAATGGAAAATGGATGTCCTTATCTCCAACTATCAGAAGAGAAAGGAAAGAAAAGTAGTCCAGGATTTCTTACAAGCCATAGCTTCAGCTCCAGAGAGAAGTTATGAGAGCTTTGTGGAGTCACCTGCCTTAGAGAGCCTCTCTGCAAATAAGCAAAAGCCTCAGAATCCTACAGGCTCATATGAATGTACACCAGGCATCAGGGTGAGGATGCCTCTCAGGCGTTATTTGAGGATACGTGGGTGGTGGTGGCTCTATAACAACACGACATTTCCCTCTTCCTGGGATACAGAGAATATTCTCCTGCGTACAGTGCTAATTAGCAGAGGGAAGTAGGTGCCAGCAAAGTAGTCCACATACTAAACCTGGCCATTGTCTAGAGTGGAACACCAAGGAATTTATAAGGTCAGAAAAACTCTGTATGCATGAGTTCAAAGTTTAATATGATTAAGATTCTCTTACAAGACTTAAGATGCAACATTTATTGTGAGAATTGCTCACACGTTTTTGGGTTAAATGCATAAACAGGAGGACATCTGAGGATCTTTCTTGAGTCACTGGCATATAGAAGTACCAGGGTATCCCTGCTTATTTGCTCCAGTGACCAAACCAGATACAGCACACCTAATCAAGTTTGACAGTATTCTAGAAGTCTGGAGGTACATGTGGGATTGGGGAGAAGTGGGTTTGAATTTATGTTTCTCGTTCTAATCTTACTGAAATATCTTTTTCACTCTCACCCTCTCTGAAGTTTCTACACGGCTTCCAGTATTCTGTCAGTAGAATATACGTCATGTCTTCAAGCAAATGCGTGACTTACAATCCAACAGTTGCTTTTTGTTTTGGTGCATAAATAAAACTGTAAAAAACCTCTCCTTGACAAAAGGTAATCCTACAGTTCAACTGGTTTCATCCTACATAAGACAGCTGATGAGAATGAGAAAGTTGGATAATTATGTTAATCTGAAACTGAAATCACAGAATGACAAATTTTGAGTTTTGTTTTTTTTCTAGAATGTGTCAGAGTATTACAGGATTTCCCAGAAAACTGTCACATGGACATATTTTATTACTTTATTTTCCTATATTTTCTGCACTAATACTTGATATTCATATCCTAGTTATTGTATGGATTCCAGTGGCTAGGTGCATAACTTCAGAGATCGAATAGATTACTCAAAGCATGGCATCTCTCACTGGTTAAGTGTTTGTAATCTAGGTCTCACATTTCTTATCTTTTCATAGTCTGCCTTCTGGCCACACTAATGTAGGCACTGAGAGGACAATTAATTTGTTGGATTGCACTTTGCCATTTGAGGTGCTGTGGGGTGCCAGGTGGTACCATACCTGGACCTTACCACCCACTCCACAAGGACCTGGAAATTCTGAACACCCTCTGTCACACTCTCGGGCCCATGCAGATGTCTCAGTTAGTGCAGGGTCTCAGAAGGTACTGCATTTCTGTGTTTGGACACTTGAATCCTCCTTTCAGTCATCTGAATAGCCTTGTTGGCTTCTGTGATTACACAGACAAGACCTCTGTGGAACCAAGAGGTGCACATGCAAGCAATATAGACATTACAGCTTAGATCTGAATTAGGAGATGACTCCCACCTTCACATTCCAACTGACCACCCCAACAAATGCAATTGCTTAATAGTTACTATCTGTATTTCACAGCCTACTTCCAGTTCTTTAGCAGGTCAGCCTAGATGGTGTCAAATTTTAATCAGCTTCTTTCTATTTCTAAATGCTAATCCTATGAATGGACCATGTAAGAATATACAGAATAAAAACAGAAGGTGTACCATATGTTTGACAGCAGAATGCAACATGCTTATACTGCCCTTACACACTGTAATACTCTTATAACTTTTCTTGGTCTTTTTATGTGTCCTTTCTGCTGCACATGAATCCATGCAATCCATCTGGTTTTTGAATTACCTCTGGATATCTATCTGATAATTTACAGTACTCTTAAAATATTCCAAGGACATTAATTTTATCTCCAAGGTTTTCAGGAACTTAATATCTAATATAGTAAAAAAACCACAAAGTTTGTGCAAATTTACAACCATACAGAAAAGATGCATAGTTAGAGTATTTCTTCATGCGATTTTTCCAAAACAAACAGAAGTTTTTTCCATACTTTTTTAATCTAATATTCTTTAGGTCAGTGTCTACCCAGAAGAAATGCATCTGGTATGTTTATAATGGAAGATTTTATCAATATTGGAGAAGAAATTACTGAAACAATGGAAAATAGACTTTTTCAACTTCTATAAATTGTTTAGACCTAAAGAATATGTGCAGGTTTTTTTTCTGATGATGCACATAAATATTTTTTATCACTTCACCTGTTCATTCACTCTGGAGTGTGATGGTCCATGATGGATGAGAATCTTCACAATATCTACATCTCCTCTCCAAGCAGCCAAGTGAATAGGAAAGTAACCTTTATTATCTGCTACATTAGTTGATGCTTCATACTGAAGTAATTTGAGAACTATATCCCTGGAAAACAGGAGGTAAATCTAAAAATGGACAGGAAGCTAATTTTATTAAGTTTTTACATGAACATACATATTACCAATATTTTTATAATGGAAAATAGAAAAAAAACCCAAACCTGTACCTCAAGTGAAACATCTACATACAAAGAGTGAAGACTATAATAATATTGTTTAATTAATTAATTGATTATTAATATAATAATTTCTGAAAATTAAATAGTAAAACACAGACAAAATGCTATTAATTGTAATGATTCTTGCTACTTATGAATACCATCAACAATATTATCATCTGCTTTCTGAATCTGTTTCTTTCAATAGGATCACCTGGTCACAGAATAATTTTTAGAATTTTCCCATCTAGAACCTGAGCATGTCCCCCAAGGCACTAAAGGCAGAGAAATACTCTTGGCCCCATCACTGCTGAATTCTGGAGGCATGATGACAAGAGGATAATTTACCGTAGGCTTAAGTAATAGTTCTTCCTCTTCTTTCAGGCATTATCTCAAAGATAGTTAGGAAACAATTTAATGATGATCTAGCTAGGTATTTGAAATAGCTTCTATGTATAACTTCTGTGAAATAACTGCTTCTATTTTCATTTCCCACATTCAGCTGCCTTGTAGCAGTGAGGAGAAAAGTGACTTATTGCCATTTCAATTCTCTTTATATTCCTTTCAGCACTTTTGGTGTGGCTTACCATACATTAAGTGAAAGATTAGCATAAGTTGGTATATTGCATCCCTGATTTTTAAGCAGTCTCCTGTACTTAACTTCAAAAGCTAAACATAAAAATCAGCTGTGTGGTATGATAACATTACCAAGTATGTCAGAAAGTAAATAAATTCTGTCTTATGGCTGCAGTTGTAGTCTCATAATTTGACACAGTCAGGTCTCACTAGTTATTAAGCTAAGAGAATCTATGATCCAGTGTGGGCAGTTCTATGCACACTTTTTACAAACATGGAAACACTGAATTACTGATCTGGCTCAAAAAATCAGTGAGGGGAGGGAGCTCAATGTAGCCTATATTATGACCAAAAATGACTACAAAATTGACTACAAATTAAGACAGAAGATAAATCTAAGGCAATTATTCTTCCAACCTTGAAGGAATCTTATTTAATTGCATACTGAAAGAAAAATGTGGCAATTTATGAGGGAATATATCCAGGTCAAAAGAAACTCCCAGCTGACTTCAAAAGATACTGGAGTCATCTCATCAAAGCTTTGAGGAAAATTTAAGCTGGATTTTGGTTACTCCTGACAAGGTCAAATACCATGAGAAAGGCCAAGAAAGAGCAGCTCCACTACAGAAAGACTTCTGATACACAAAAAGTTCCAGAAAAGGGACTCCTGAGGGAAACTTTTTAGTACACGTAAGGTTTGAGAGACTTCCTATTAAATAATAGTTAGTTTTGCAGTAAAGGGTCCAATGAGAGCTAGACGTACACAGCAGTTCATCTGAAAGGAAGACCAAACAGAGGAAGCATAAATTGAACTTTGTGGAAGAAAGTCAGTAGAAAAGCCCTGCACAGATGAAATCTAGAGATAAAAACAAACAGGAATTTTTGGGGAGAGTCTATTGTGAGATTCAAGCTACAAAATGGAACATGCATCTCCTTCATCCTTCAAGAATGCCCTAACCCATTACACTTATCTAGGGTGAGACTTCTATAGTACTTTGGCAGAACTTTTTCATTTTGTGCAAATACATTTCAGAGAGGAGGAGACTCAAAGTCCTTAGCCCAGTAACATTACTGGGATAAGTGAAATTACTTAGGGAGACTGAGATTCCAGTGTCTGCCCCAGATATGATTTAATTACTTAGATAAAGCTGAATAGTTTCCCAAGGAAAGAAAATTATCCCAGAATAACCAAGGAGGAGGGAATTCATCACACACAGTGATCAAGCAAGGATTTGAACAATGGTGTCCAAAAAGTATCTCAGCCACAAATTCTTATGTTCTTACTTTTCTTGAAAAACTTTGAAATCCCTCAGGTTCAACCTAGTGTAAAGTGGGAAAAATTAAAATCCCAGAAGTTTTTAAAGGACAGGAACTTCTCCTAAGTGGGAAGATTCTTGTGTCAAATGATTGTATGCCGTTTTGATTTTGAATATCAAGTTTGAAAACTCAAATAGAGTGTAAAGTAATTTATTTTTTATTTGTGATGACTAATAAAATTAGAATCACCAGGTGTCTGTCCAATTCTCTTGCTGACCATGCTACCGTTGCAGCAGGACCAGTATAATGGCTTGGATAACAGGTCCTGAAACCCTCATGATTTATCACAAAATATCTCATTATGTATTTCAGTTTACTTTAATATAAGAAGGTATAATTGTGATGTCAGTTACTGCTACTTATCCTGCTGTGAGTGTACAGGGTCATAGCAGCCAACATTGCACTTTTCGAAGGCTGTAGTTATATCTGCTGCTGTACATAAATCCACATTTTTAAGTCCTCCCTGTCCTCAGAAAAAGTTTGGTCAATACTAAATCTGAAATCATCATTTGGCTTTTGTATGTTTTGGGATTTGATACTTTATATTGCTAGGATTCACTTGAAACCTCTGATAGTTTCAATGTTTATACAGCAATATTTTTAACTTTCTGTGTAACTATTATTTTATTGCCAGTATTAAATACACTAAACCCAGTTTTCATCTATTTAAAACCAGCAATCTTTGCAAGCCAGTGCTTGGGGTTTGGTCAGTCAAAAATTAGCAATAGCACTAGAAACAATCCATAAATCATGAACAAAAATGCTGAGTTTAACAGACCATAATAAGAACTTAGACCTAATTTCATGGAGATAAAAATATATTAAAGGATTATTCTGAACCTTCCCACACAGCTGAAACTTTGGAAAATGCACAATATCTGGTTCAAGAGTTTACTTCACATATTTATTTAGAAAAAATGTCCCATATTCATCAAAAGATTAATCCATCCTAAAGAAAATAGGCACCTTTCTAGAATACAATTGAAGCACATCCTAAAATTTTAATTTATCCTTAGAAGGATGCAAAAATTGTGCAATGTGTAAACTAAACACATAATAATTACATATATATGTGGTATTTTATGGATAGTCCAAAATCACATTAAAATTCATACAAATCACTCTTAATTTCAGCTGAGTTTGGATCAATTCCTTACCTTCCACAGAGGATTAAACCAAAGCTTTATGTCAAAACTTTCTTTAGTGAAAAGATCCTTCTTTTTCCTGCTTTCAAGTGTATAATTACTAAATATTTTTTTCATGTTACTTTTGCTTTGATAACAATTAATCTCTACTGTTCTGTTTCACAAAATTGCTTTCTGAAATGTTCACACTCTATACATATGTACATACACACAGAAACATAACACAATATTTTCTGCTGTGATTTCCCAGCTTTGGAAAAACACTAGAGCCAAGACTAGCAGTAACAATGCTAAATTTCCCCAAAACTGAGGAAGAATTTGGAAGAAGCAGTATAGAATCAATAGTTTTAAACATTTCTCATTTGTCATTATTAATATTGTTAATTATTAATACTGAGGACAGTGTCAAAACATCTTATATTAATATATTCCATTGGAAAGAAGGCTTTTTTAAAAAGTCAGGGTTTGCCAATTTTTGGTACAAATCACTATGATGTATTTTCTTGCATTACATAGTTAAATACCATTCTACATAAAAACTAAATGTGAGGCACTTACTTGTGTCCATTTAAAGCTGCATGATGTAAAGCAGTATAACCTGAACTGTCAGTGCAGTTTATGTTTGGTCCTCGCCAGATGCTGCAAATACAGAAAAATTGTGAAGTTAATTTTTTGGCTTGACAAGTACAGAAGTGTCAGAAATTTAATCTACAAATAATCTAAAGATCTCTGCAACAAGTGTGATAAAACTTTAAGAGATTAATTACCTTGAAAGAAAGTTAAAATAGCAAATGTCATCTTGATAGCAATATAATTTATTTATAAAAATAATTTTACACATCCATCTATATATGAGTCATGAACTGTATATAGGGCAGACTCAAAGACTAATGACAGAATAGTCATTTCAATTAGATCTCTTCTCCCTGTATTATTCTGGTAATTACACTGAGGTTATCATCTGATTTTGTACTACTTTTCCATAAGTATGTAATCATTGACTTTAGGTCAGTCTAGAATCAAACAAGCATCAGATTAGTTGGAACCAATCAAATTGTTTAAAGGGACAGGAAATTTATTCTTTTTACTTAACTTGATATTTTAGATCCCACTTTAGCTGATTATATACTTAAAATAAATTAGATAGGGCTTTAAAAATAAATTAATTAAATTCTATTTTGTTATCTTTCTGTATTTTATATTCAACTTCATTACATATCCTGTTTAACCAGTTTCATGATCTATTACAGACTCTTCAAAAAACAGTAAAGGACAGATTTTGTTTCAAAGTGGAAAACATGGGTGCTAATCTACCAAAACCAACAACAAAACCAAGCCCTGGAAATTGGATAACAGAGGTGTGTTGAGAACTAGCCGGCTATTTTGTCTAACCGATTACATTTAAAACTGATTGTATCCCTTAAAGAAGCAATTTACTCTTCTGTAACAGTATTAAAACTTCCTGAGTACAAAATTTTGACTCCTGAATTACAGTCTGTTTTCTTTAGTTTCTAATACCGTTCTAAACATCCATTGGCAAGCCATATTTCATTTCACTTCATACATTAGAATCAAGTGCTGTAGTTTAAAGAAAATAATTTGAAACTAATAAGTAAAAAGAATTTTTCATATTGACATTTTTCATTATCTACATTAGTAAAATGACATTATGCTTAATATGTGATTTTTAAGAATTATTTACTATTGAATCTGTATTTTATTACCCATAAAATGGAATATATATTTATATATATATATATATATATGCACACTAGGGAATACTGACCTAGACTGGTCTCTTTTTCATTGTGTGTACTGGAGTGATTCATTAGCTCATAAACTGAAGAAGTTGTTTCCCCCCAAGTAATACTGTGTGCATATAGAATTATTTGTGTGAAACATTGTGTTCTGCAGTGAGCATAATTCTACATAATGCTGGGTACCTCACCTCTCCCTGCAATTTAATTTCTTGGAAGAACAGGATTGAATTCTTTTCTTGGGTGCAAAGAAGAAAAAAAAAAAAAGGCTTTTTAGAAAATCTGCTCCGACATCTACAGATGTTCTTTTCTACAGAAGGCAACTTTCAGATACGAAAAGTCACTCTAATCTTTTCAATTAAAGGAAATTATTTTAACTTCATGGAATAGTAAAAATTAAGTTCCTGAACAGATAGCTCCTGATAGACAGATGTTATTTGTAATGCAAAGGCCAAGCTTTCTATCTACTAGAAGGAAATAAATCTTTATTTATTGATAAGGTACAACCTCCCTTTTACTTTTGCATAGTGTTTATCAATTATTGTCTTATTTATTGAATTATATTTTCATCCTTTGATGTATACCAGCTTATAGGAGAATGAAGAAAATAAGAAGCGTATAGAAAGTAAGATTTTAAATATTACCAAAAAAGAAAATACACTACCAACCAGAACATAATTTACTTGATTTTGATAGCTTGCTTGCTTTGACTTAGAGTTGTTGGGATTTGTCTGTTGGTTGTTTTTTTTCAAAATGCAAGGATCCAAGAGTTCATGTACTGTTCATGATATGCTAGGCATCATGAATAAAAAACCCACAAAAAAACTAAAAACAAAAACCTCCCACCAAAACTCGACACATAAGATAATACTTATTCATTCTCTCCTAATTTTCTTCTTTAATCCACTTATTAATTAAAACATTGTTGTATTTCCTGACTCTGATCTTAGGAAATATTTTTGAACTGAAACTATTCTGATTTATAAAAAAACAGCTCTGAAACTTTATTAAAGCATATATAAATGCACTTATGTGAAACTCCTCAGGACATGCAGGTTGCGTGGGTGAGAGGCAAAGGACAAAAGACAATGAGTATATGCTGATGACTCAGAGACCCAAGACAGGATGGACAGACTAGTCACTGGCAGCTCCCAAAGGGTACACAAAGACATGCTCAAAATCACAGCATGGTTATCAAACTACAGAACACAGCAAGCACGAGCAGGACTTGGCTGCAGGACTCATCCCTTGGCCAGTGCAGAAATCCTCTCTTGGATTGCGACAGTATTGGAACATTATTTCCTACAAAAGGAATGCAGGTCCAGTATATATATACATGGGATATCTATGCTTGAATAACTGAGAATCAAATTCAAATTGGACAGTCTGAATACAAATTTTTACATGCTAAAAATCCCAGCTTCAGCTAAAGCTCTTCTCTGGCAATCAGAATACAGCGGGACAAAAGTCCAGTCGTCTATAAGCTCCATACAAAGCATTTGACTTCAAACAAAAGTGGAATAGAGATTGAGGAAAAACCTAAATATCCTTTCTTTAGTATCATAAACATATATGATAAGTGAAGAATCATTAAATATATTGATTTATCTGTGCATTAAAACATCTGTGAAAGCAACACTAAGGAGAATCTGACAAAAAACAAATACCATTCAATCTTCAGAAAAGAATATTTGTTGACAGAAAATTAGCGGTTCTTTAGAATATCATTAATTTTGAATGTTCTCAAAAATATATTTCTTCTAATACTTTGATGCAGTCAGTAATCAAACTTCTTAATGGGGCATGCATTAGTAAGTTAGGAATCTGTTTTCCTATGTACATCAGTAAATTAAAACCTTCCTATTACTTAATGTATTTTAAGAAAGTAATTGAAACTACTTTTTGTGCAAAAAATTAGTGTTCATTCAACAATGAATTAAAACATGATTATCAATTAGTTTCTTCCGTGACATCTTGCCAAAGTAAAGCACAAATAAATAGAAGTCTGTTATACTATCTACATTATTGCTGAAAGCAGAAAGATCTCCTTACAGTCTACTTTCACTGTGGACAAAGTATGTTGATCTTATGAAGTGATGTCAAATATTAATTGAAAATACTCTTTACTTGGTCAGAAAATTACTATTGTTTTTCTTTTTTTTTTCCATCTGCTTAAATAGTTACATATAAAGAGTAGTATTTCAAAGAAACATGAAAATGACATAAAAAGATGGTTAGTTGATTGATTCCTTATTTTGCGTTGCTTTCTGGAAAGAAATAATTGTGAAATGGCTGTTGTTACACACAAATTAACAGAAAAGCAAGGAAATAAAAGCTTTTTCCAGATAATCACCACAAACACATTCCCCATCAACAGTACAAGAACTATGCTTATAAGGAACGCATAATTTTTATATGCATCGCATTTCCTCTCTGTATATATATCTGCATTATATCACTCCATTATCATTATACTATTTCATGACTATGCAAAAAATATTTCTGGTCCTTATATGGTAGTTTTGCTAAGGTGAAAGGAACATATTTTTGGTGAACAATGATAAGAATTTTTAAAAATCTTGGAAAACTGCCTGATGACATGACATTCTGAACTTCACCCTCTTTCCATTGATGTCAATGGCAAACACCAGTTCAGATTTACATAGCCTCTTACTGTTCCTGTGTTCCACAGAATAAATACATATTACAGGAATTTATCTTGTTCTCAGCCAAAATCCTCCAGAATTTCAATGCTTTTTGTTAATCTGACAGAAGCACATTGAATAAAGTCTTTTGAGCACACAGCCAGGCTCTTTATTAGTACTCTGCCTACATTCATGCACATATTCAGTTGGGCTAAGTCACTTTATACAGAGTACATGGTCAGTATTGCAGAGAATTTTGAAAATGCAAACTTTTACATAATAACGTGTATCATGATTCAGAGAAATAATAATAATACTATTACTTATTGTGAACAGCAGAAAAATAGCTCCCATTCTCTATTTCATGCACAAATATACCACGCTGACAACTCTTCCTCTAACCTATATATTAATAATGTTACTTATCAAATATAGAAGTGTATCATTTTAGTGAATTTGAATTTTTTTCTTTCTATGGATTCATCTTTGGTAGAATCCAGTTTTATGCCAGATACATTATTCTATAAAAATTTGTATTTCTTTTTCATGCATGGTTTTACCTATTATTAACACTCATTTGCTGAATTTGAGGTACATCTTCAAATTACTTCAAAGAAAGTAAATTTAAATATTTGCTTTTAGGAGCAGTGGAGACAAAACTCTTTTAGAAAGTCATATTTTAAAGCCTAATAAATAACTGTACATGGGGAATAAACATTGAAAAATGTATTTTAGGATTAATTTCAAACAGGTGCAGTTATAAGTATTAAACTGAAAATAGAAGATGATATTATGAGTAAGGCTATCTTTGATCTTCTTTCCAGTATCAAAAAACCTGTTGCATGAAGCAACTGAGAATTAAAATCTCAAAAGAATAATTTTTATTTTAATTAAAAATAAATGGAATGACAAATTATTATCAATTCAATTAATACTGATTTTATACTTAAAGCTTATTGTATATATAATTCCAATTAAGAACTTTTGTTGTATCAGTGTGAAATGTGACTCAAAAACATTTCAACTTTGAATGTGCTTATCTCCTATGTGATTCCTGTTGTTTAGTTGTTTCATTATAAATAATACAACAAAATTCAACTGTTCATGGATTAAGGATGTTACTCAAGTTCAGGTTCTAAAGCAGCTTATTCCACTTGCTTTCTTTAACTTTGATCTGTTTACAGTCTTGGCCTTACTGTAAGTCTGCAAAACTGGAGAATTCCACTAAACAGTTGTC